TCACTTTGTTTGAAGGTTTCATAATCAGATCAGATCGAATGAAATTCATAGTACCTTAGAGCCAGTGAGATGCTTTTCAAGGTGTCATTTTAATCACCGAAATCTTAGTTTTGAGTTGGCTTTGGAGTTCACAAGCATCATCTTGGCTCTGTGTTTTTATAGTACTCCCTCTCGTTCTCCTTGGGTGGCTAATGAATGATTTAATTACCTGCCTTTCATTCATTTACTGCCTCCTTAAAGTGAAAATGTCTCTGGTCACCTCATACATGTATAATGGCCAAAAGTAAGAGCCCCTGCAGGGTAAAAGAGCAATTCCTTGTGGAATATTGTAGCCTGAGGTTCATATTCAATGGAAAGAGCCCATAAACTATATGTTCAGCCTTAAAACACTTTTTGTATGAAATCAATCGTCATGTTCTCGAGTTCTCTGCCAAGAGGCAAGCACACGGAAGCACAATCTTCACCATGGAGCATGTCCTGAGTCCAGTCAAGCTAGAACGGGGTTCAAACCCCTGCTGTTGGGATGCTGCTGCCGCACCAGCTCTCCAGCCAATGGATCCACCATGTAGTCTGAGTTGCTGTGACAATGCATGTTGTCTGGAGATGTGGATAGGGATAGTAGAGACTCCAATTACTTTCAGCTGACCAGGAATATCTCCCCCTCTGATACACCAAGGACTGGCAGTAATAGAGTCATAGAGTCCTACAGCACAGAGACAGGCCCTTCGGCTCAAATTGGTCTATGCCGACCAAAATGTCTGTCCACGCTAACCCCATTTCCCTGCACTTGGCCCATATCCTTCTAAACCTTTACTATCCATGTATTTCTCCAAATGCCTTTTAAATTTTGTCAATGTACCTGTCTCAACCACTTCTGCTGGCAGCTCATTCCATGTGTGTACCACCTTCTTTGTAAAACAAAAAGGTTGCCTGTCATGTTCCCATGTATTTTTTCCCCTCTGACCTTAAACTGATACCCTCTAGTCCTCGATTTCCCAACCCTGGGAAAAAGACTGAATGCATTCACCCTATCCATGCCTCTCATGATCTTATACACTTCTATAAGATCCTTCCTTAGTCTCCAACGCTCTAAAGAAGAAAGTCCTATCTTGTCCAACCTGTCCCTATCACTCACTCCCTTGAGTCCTGGCAACATCCTTGTAAATTTCTTCTGTACTCGTTCCAGTTTAATAACATCCTTCCTACAGCAAGGTGACCAAAACTGAACACAATACTCCAAGTGCAGCCTCACCAACGTCCTATACAACTGCAACATATCTTCCCAACTTCTGCACTCAATGCCCTGACTGATGAAGGCCAGTGTGCCAAACGCCGCCTTCACTGCCCTGTCCACCTGTGACTCTGCCATGCACCTGAAATCCTTAAGGCCCTACCATTCACCATGAAACTCCTACCTTAATTTGACTTTCCAAAATGCAAGATCTCACACTTATCTATATTAAACTCCATTTGCCATTTCTTGGCCCACTTCCCCAGCTGATCAAGATCCTGCTGCAGTTTCTGATAACCTTGCTCACATCTACCATACCACCTATTTTAGTGTCATCTGCAAATTTACTAATCATGCCTTGTACATTCCCGTCCAAATCATTGATATAGATAACAAACAGCAAAGGGCACAGCACCGACCCCAAGGCATACCACCATTCACAGGCCTCTAGACCGACAAGCATCCTTCCACTATTACACTCTGCTTCCTACCATCAAGCCAATTGTGTTTCCAATTTGCCAGCTCTCCCTGGATTCCATGTGATCTAACCTTCCAAAGCAGCTTATCACGTGGAATCTTATCAAAGGCCTTACTGAAATCCATGTAAACTACGTCTACCACCCTGCCCTCATTAACCTTCCTGGTCACTTTAACAAAGAACTCTTAACAAATTTGTGAGGCATGGTCTCTCATGCCTGAAGCCATGCTGACTACTACGAATCAAACCCTATCTTTCCGAATGTATGGACATCTTATCCCTCAGAACCTTCTCCGGTAACTTCCCTACCACAAATGTTAGGCTTACTAGTCTATAATTCCCAGGTTTTTTTCTTTGCAGCCCTTTTTGAATAAAGGCACAACGTTCGCTACCCTCCAGTCTTCCAGAACTTCACTCACGGCTAATGATGATGCAAATATATTAGCCAGGGTCCCCGCTATTTCTTCTCTAGCCTCTTGCAGGATTCTTGGATATATCTGGTCAGGACCAGGAGATTTATCCACCTTCATACATTCTAATACTTCCAACATCTCCACTACTGTGATATGGACTGTCTCCAAGATAAGGCCACTAACTTCCCCCAAGTTCCCAAGTCTTCATGTCTTTCTCCACGGTAAACACAGAGGAAAAGTATCCATTGAGGACCTCGCCCATCTCCTGCGGCTCCACACATACATGTCCACTTTGGTCCTTGAGGGATCCTATTCTCTCTCTAGTTATTCTTTTTCCTTTAATATACTTAAAGAATCTCTTTGGATTCACCCTAATCCTCTCAGCCAAATCTATTACATGTCCCCTTTTCGCCCCCCCGATTTCCTTCTTCAATGAACTCCTGTATCCCCTATGTACCTCCAGGGATTCCCTTGATCCCAGCTGCCTATACCTGAGCCATGCCTCCTTTTTTCTGGTCAAAGCCTCAATAGTTCTTGTCCTCCAGGGTTCCCTACTCCTGCTAACCTTGCCCTTTACCCTCACTGGAACATAAAAATCTTGAACTCTAGCTATCACACTTTTAAAGGCCTCCCACTTGCCAGAGGTCCCTTTGCCTACAAACAAACTACTCCGATCAATCCTTGCAAGCTCCTGTCTAATTCCATCAAAATTCGCCCAGCCCCAATTTAGAACTTGAAGCTGTGGACCAGTTTTGTCCTTCTCCATAACTATTTTAAAATTAATAGAACTATGGTCACTGGCCCCAAAGTGCTCCCCAACTGTCACCTCAGTCACCTGTCCTGCCCTATTTTCTAAGAGTAGGTTGAGTTTTGCCCCTTCCCGAGTAGGACCCTCTATATGCTGCTTGAGGAAACTTTCCTGAACACAGTCAATAAATTCCACCCCATCTAAGCCCTTAACACTCTGGCAGTCCAAGTCTATGATAGGAAAATTAAAATCCCCCACTATGACAAGCTTATTGCTCCTGCAAGTCTCCCCAAGGAATGTTGGAAGGATTTACAAGTTGATACCCAAATGTGTTTGACCACGCTATGGACATCATGCCACAGAGTGGGACTTGAATCCAGAGCTTCTGTCTGAAAGGCAGATTGCTACGCCTGCACCATCAGTTTTCTATCCTATAAAGATAGTAAGAGGCTGCAAAGTGAAGAGGAGCTCCAGGTGGACAATGAAGAATTTGCGTATTTTGTTCTTGTGGTGCAGAAATACTTAACAAAACTAAAAAAAAAAAAAAGCACAGTACAAATAGCACCACCTGACTTTATCTGGGTGATGTTGGTGAGGCTACACTGTTTTCCCATCTATAGTTGCCTTGGTGTGGTAATGGACCACTTTCCACGGGAACCACCATTGTCCTTGTGATGGTGTTCTCATGTGCCACAGAATTCCCAGATGGGGACTGAGGAGTATTTGTTTAAGTTAGGATGTGATTTAGAGGAGATCTGGGCAGTGATTTTTTTTAAAAAATTATTATTAATTCATGGGTCAGCATTTATCGCCGATCCCTAGTTGCCTTCAAGAAGGTGGTGGTGAGCTATCTTCTTGAATTATTGCAGTCCATTTGGTGTAGGTCAACGTAAAATGCCACTGGGGAATAAGTTCCGGCATTTTGACGCAGAGACAGTGAAGAACAGCAATGTATTTCTAAGTCAGGAAGGTGAGTGGCCTGGAAGGGAACTTCCAGCAGAAGTGTTCCACATATCTGCTGCTCCTGTCCTTCCAATTGGTTGTGCTTCGGGATTTTTAAGGTGTTGTGTCATGATGTTGCTGTGACATACCCTGTTGGTTCACTCCACTGTACAAATTAGTTTGATTCCTCTCTGCTCTACGATAGACCTTTTGAAGGGGCATCGTTCTTGGAGTTGCTGCAGTGTACTTTGTAGAACATACTTGCTGTAGAAGATGGAATTCACATTGAACATGGGACAGTGTGAAGCCCATTGAAATGTTTCACTCTGTTAAATGCTCCACAAGTTATTAAATGTCAGAGTCTAGTTCGCTGACAGCTTGTCTTTGCTCCCTCAAAGTGTTTGAATTTGCAGCTGATTACACAAGTAGAAAGCGGCTGTATCTAATTAAATACAACTGCAAATGACAGGATATGTAATGAGCAGCGACCACTTTAACAGATGAGTAATGAACAAAGTGGGGAGTGGATTTGACCCAGGACCCTTTTATTGATGTTTAGATGTACCTTGCCGTTAGCTCTCTGATCTTGTACATGCCATCACAGTGTGAGTTCTATATTCCTTGCAGGCGATATCAGTGATTATATTGCAAGTGCCAAGCAAAGAGCTGCTATTGCAAATCGCACAGCTGTGAATGTGCAGAACACTCTGGTGCCTATGAAAAAGAACCTCGAGCAATGGCGAGAGAAATATGGCGGAGCACCTTCCGACAGTGAGGAATTTAACAAAACTCTCCAAGAAGCAAATAAATCTGGTATGTGGAAATAGCAACTGTATCCTCTCCCCATAGCATACAACTGTAGTTTTACTGGAAAGGCCTGAAGTGGACTTACTTTGGAACTGATCTTCCTGAAGTTTTTAATTCTAATTTCATTGATCCTAAGGGATTAACATATTTGTGTGTGTTTGATCGTTAGTTCTATGGCTATTGCCAAAATTATAGAATTCATACAGCCCAGAGGGGGGCCATTTGGCCCATCTTGTCCATGCCAACACAAAGACACCCAGATGCCCTTTCTAATCCCACCTTCCTGCACATGGCCCATAGCCCTGCAGTTTACAGCACTTAAGGTGCAGATTAGAAGAGTTTAGGGTCTATTCCTCCACCACCAAATTCAGGCTGTGAATTCCATATACCCTCTGTGTAAAAAAAGAAAAAAGCTTTTCCTCATGTCCCCTCTAATCCTTCTAGCCTTGAACAAATCCACCTACCAGGAACCTGCAATATTAGGAAACTTAATGTGGGCATTAAATCACTGTGAATCAGAAGAAAGCACCTAGTGATGAAGTCTGCAGTTGCCCATGTCAGCGTTTAGTTATATTTTAATATTTTTGTAAAGAGGTGTTGCCAGAGGTCATAGATTTTCCCTCGTCAGGCCTAGGGAAAGGGCAGCATGTTTGAGCTTGGAATATATTTCAGTTTGAGCCTTTTATCCAGGAGCTTGTGAAGCCTAATGCTGCGTGGAATCTATCCCAACCAATCAATTAGTGCTGTCTTCTCCTGCACTATATGTTGTTGTGATTTTAAATTTGATATTCTTGCATTCGTCCTGACAAATGTAGGTTGCAAAGCTTTTGCAATGTGTTTCTGTCTTCAATAATATTCAAGTTCTGTACATCTGAAGTGACTGTTCGTTCGTTTATTTGTTTCCTGCCGCCAAAGATTCTAAATAAAAACCGAAAGAACTGTGGATGCTGTAAATCAGGATCAAAAACA